ATTACATGTATTGTTATTCAACTTGTTCTCAAACTTTTAAAAAACTTAAGATTTTAGATATCATTCCATGTCAATTCATGTAGGATTCTCATTCTCTTTTATTGATGCCAGGCACTTCGTAACGTATATCATGTTCCATCTTCTTGGTACCTTCTGTTTGTTTTTCAATTTTATACTATTACAAAGGTACAACTGGCATCATTGTATGAGCTGCCTGGTGAACACAAGTATGCAAAGTGTGTTTCATTAAAAGTTGAAATTATTAGGCCACAAGATATGAGAATTTTAAGCCTTAATGGATACCACTCAATGGCCAATTTATATGCTCACCAGCAATGTAGGGTTTCCTTGCCAGCTCTTGGTTTATATATATTTTAAACATTTGCCAATTGAATCTGAGATCATTTCTTATGTTTTAATGCACATTTCCCTCATCATGTTGATTTTGAACATCTCTTCATAGTCTCTTTGCAAACATTTTGCTTATGTATATTTTCACAGGGAGAGGGTGGGAAAGTTCTCAACTTCTAAAAGGAACATGTGACTTAAAAGCTCAAGATTCTGTTTTAGTCTAGCCAGAATTGATTTTGTGAGTTAAAGAGCAAAATTAGTTTTTTCCCTTCGTAGTTATGCTGTCCTGAATACTATTGTCCAATGATACATTCTTTCCCTACTGATTTGAAATGTCATTTTTATCATCTACACAAGTTTGTTTCTAGATTCTCAGCGTTATCACAGATTTGTTTTTGGCATTAGTCACCTGAGTTATTCTTGACTTAGTTCACTGAATGGTAGCTGATTTTATCAGCAAAGATAATCAGCATATTGCTAATAAGACAAAAGATGATACAATTTATGACACACAAATCCTAGTTAAGCTTGATTTAAATCCACGCCATTATATATACAAACACAGAGCAGTAAAGGTATGCATAAACCTCTCTCAGATGAACTCCTCTTTTTTAGGGGAAATCTCACAGTTCCAATGTAGAAATGGGAGGGTTTTTACCTGTGCCTCTCTTTCTAAAACCATTATTTGATATCAAAGCTTGTTGGTGATTTAAAGTTTTTTCCTGGAAATATCTAAATATCTAAATATAGTGTGGCAATATTAGTGTTGATTTTACACGAATATCTTATTAAACAAATGATATCAGGTCCACAAAATGATGTACAATTTGAATAAACAATATGGCACCTAAGATTTTATTTTTACACTGGACTGTAAGATCCTAAAAAATCATGTCCCATTCATTTTCCTATCCCCAAATATCTAGTACAGGGTACAGCACCAAAAGTGAAATTGAATTGAATTGTAATGTTTCTATAAAATAAAAATAATATCCACATTCTCAAAAGGATACCTTTACTTTAGGGTTTTACAAAGCTTTACATAGTTACTTTTTCTATCTATCTGTCACGTATCAATAGGGACATTAGAATTGGACATTGCTTTGTTATAATCTCATGTTCAAGTGTGGGGTAAATGTTCCCTGATTGTCCATGGTATTCTTTAGGGATGATCTTAGGAATCACTGCTTGCCTCTGAAATGACAGGAGAACTGTGACCTGGAAAATATTTTGGATTGCGGTGGGCAGGAATGCTTTAAAATTGTTATATAGAAGTAGTTTAGACATGCAAATAAGTGAAATGAAAAGGTGTACTCAATTTTTCAGAAGTGAAAGTTGGAGTGTGACATTTACCTAGTTTAAAAAAATCAGTTATTTTATGTCCTACATTAACATGCTTTTTCCTACCCTCTTTCAAAGGGAACTTTGGCTTCTCTGGGCAATGTCTTACATAGTCCATAAACTTAGATGGTTTATTTATAGCCTAATCTATCAGAGTAGACACCAAATTCCCCAATCCATCATTTTCTCTAATGAGGACAAATAAAGCCATACCATCTAAGTATGTTAAATTCTGCAATCAAGAGGATTGTAAAATACCAGCTTCTTACTTTACCATGCCGAACCCTAAGACAATGCTGTCTTTACTTTATTCATGATGCTTCTGTTATAAAAGGAATTATGACCTTTAGTTTGCTGTGTATAGCATCTCACTTAAAACATTTTTTAACAGTGAACACAGCATGTCACATCAATTATACCCCACTCGGAGAATCATTTCAACAGCACTTAGGTACTGAGTGCTGAGAGAAGAAATCTGTACATTCAAAGTCAGGTCATGGTTTAGAACAGACCTGTTATAGAAATACATGAAACAGGGATATACTTTGGAACATCAAAAAGGGAGAAAATAGGGTACTGATACACATTACTAATAATCAACTATAAGTATTGCTGGAAAATTGAAATATGGAATACTAGCAAATTAGAATAATGAAGGACTGGGATGGAAACAGATGGAAACTTGGCTGGCGGTGGGGGGAGATGGATGAAAGGTCCTGTTTTGCTTAGGCAGATTTATACAGAACGAAGCTGCTTCTGAATCAACCTGTGTCAAAGAATGGAAGGCAGAAGTTTGGCAACCCTTATTGTGACTTGCACTGTCAGGATCTGATAGGGACAGAATCCAATCTTTTTTGAGGAACAAGGGATATGTATTGGACTCAAGCTCCTGGGTCACTCTAACCCTACTCATTATAAAAGGACTTTTAGTTTTTTAGGACTGACTTCACAGAGGCATGGAGTTACAGTCAAGTTCCTCTATTCTTCCTACCCTCTTCTTTTGCTGATTCTTGAAATTCCTTTAGTAGAAAAGAGACTGATTTCAGAAAGAGATAATACCTGTTAGAAGAAAATTTAACACTCAGAGCAAGAAAGATGGTGGGGATTAACTAATCATCGTGGAGGAAAAAAAATGGTACAGAAAACCTGAACAACTTCATCAATGTCAGCAGATTATCTAATATAACTGCCTATCACTTCTCTTCTGGAAATTATACCTCAGCTTCCAGTTTTAGCCTCCCATTTACCTCAAGGGCTTTTTAAAAATGTTAAGTCTGACCACAATCCATTGCTTAAAATCATTCAATAAATCATTCTTGCTTTCTGAAGAGATGCCAAACTACTAAAGTGAGTGGCAGTCTTTGCCCACCTGCCTCCCGTGACACAATTCTGTGGCAATTCAGAGCTTTGTGTATGCTAAGCCTCCGAGCAGTTTTCTTGTATTTGTGCCCTTAAGACTCAGATCCCACCTTTTATCAAGCCATCAGTCTTTTTATTGCATTGTGTATGTTGGTTTGTCTATTTCCTCAAAATGTAAAACTGGATTATTGAAGTGTCGTGTCACAAAATGCCTATTACTGAACTATAAAGTTAAAAAAAAAATGTGACTCAGCTTCTGAAAACTAGCAATTTCTGGTTCTACAAAGACACATTCCCATGGAGAACAGGTATTTGGTTAATGTTAAGCACTCCTCTACCTCCTTCTTAAAGGCCCTGTAGTGATTATTTTGAACTTAGAGAAATAACTATCTCTGACCTGACATGTGTGAATCATGAAATCTATAACTGTGGAGGTCGGGGGCGGGGGTGGGAGTGGGAAGGCGAGCTTAAGGATAAAACATCCTTAAAATTTCTCCTTAGCTCAGAAAACATTGGAAATATACAGCTACTTCAGAGATTACAATTATGGAATTATACCTTTTTCTTTTGCACGCAAGCTGTAAAATTATATAATTTAAAATAAATTTTGGGGGTAGAAAGTTAGTTTTCAGACATACTGCCATGTGAGAAATCTTCTGTGACTTTCTGGTTGGCTGAAATAGACACCAATTTTATGCGGCATATTGGTCTATGGGCATTCAATTGAGACAATTACAGGAGGCACTTCTATAGGGCTGTCTCAACTTTGCATCTCAAATTAATACTCCTGTTAATGTGGAGCTGGAGACCACATTTTGCCAAGGTAAAAGTGAAATTTATTTATGATCCTGAACAATTCAGAAAGTTTGATGTCGTTTTCAAATACGAAATATTCACACTAACTAGCACAACAGCTTCTTCAACCTTAAATTTCTCCTTGAATCTGGAGTGGGATGAGCCTCATGAGTGTATGTTTGGATATAAAAGCGTCCTTTTACATTTGGGGCTTATGTATAGGGGAAGGTTGGGTCCCTAGGGAGGGAGCAGGGAATGGGACAGGCACTATTGCAATTTTGCACTTTCTGAACATTGCACCGTAAGTTGAGTATCTTCTCATTTTATTAAACTGAAAAGTTTATTAATATTAAGGTTCTTGATACATATTGCCAAATTACTAGATATACACAGGAGTGTTTTTTCACACCAATGCTAATGCCTTCCTGCTTTTTAAGATGTAACAATTAGTTAAAAGTATTAATTTACACTTCTTCAATTACCTTTAGAAACTGCCATTTATTTTTTTGTGTAGTATCCATGTTCTCTTTTCAATTGTGGCTCTTTTAAATGTAAACATAGTAGTAATTGCCTTCAATTATTATCAAACTAACACCAATCATTTTCCTTTGGTCTGAGCCTTTTTTTTCTAATGGTACTAACATTAACATTATTTGTATGGAACATATTCCATAGCACAACCAGAATAAAAATATTTGGTAATCCCCACATAAGTCCTGATTTTATGCATGTAGTTTGTGGTTAAGCTGATAAAGTTTTTATTTAAATTAAAAAACACCTATTTATACTCTTTAGCAGAGTAGCTGTTGTTGGTTCTCATTAACTCCTCATTAGCTAGTTATAGATTCAGAGCATGTTAATTTCTACAGGCACCTTTCTGAATTCAAGTAAAAGTTTTGGTAGACAAGGATTTCTCTATTTAAATGTCAGTGACATAAAATGAGTACTGAGTACAAATATTGCTCACCATTCTTGCATTCTTTAAATTATTTTACTATGAAAGTCTAAGAACTGTCATGAAGTCACAAGTAACATAGGTTTTCATTTAAGGACTACTCTGAACTGTGAAAATACAAATTAGTCAAATTAAATTAAATTTTGAACACATATAGAGCCAAATATTTCAACAAAACTGCAGTTTAATTTCAGAAAATGTGTTAAAATATATATTTATACATCAATTTCTGACATACACTTAATGTGTTAGTATACACAAAATGATGCTTTCTTTCGAAACTGTATTTATGAAATGTACATTTTAATTTAAATACTCAGTATACACTGCACTTAATCTGCATGTTGCATTTATTAAATACATTAAAATCTGCAATGTAACAAAACGTTTTCTGCATACGAAATTCAAAACACCATTTTAAATGAACAAAAGATGGCTCACTTCATTTTTTTTTAATAACTAGTGTAGAGTACACTAGGTCAGCTCCACCGTACTACCTGTTCGTTCTTTTTTATTTAACATTGTTCACAGACTAGTACATATTACAATAAGAGTGCTGGATAAAAACATGAGGTACGAAAGTGGTTCAAAGATTATAGGTCATGCAGATCATGCTAGACAGCAAAGAAAATTGTGACCGAAACACTAAATAAAAATACATAAAGAATGTGCATTATATAAAAAAAAAACAACAAACAAACAAACAACAACAAAAAAAAAACAACAAACTCCATTACACAGCTTTGCTTCTTTGGTTACAAAGTAGGTTGAACAATTTCACAGCTTTTTATTCCCACCCGAAAAAAAAAAAGTCATACGAAATGTCGAAAAGCAGAGGAATCGTGGCAATTTCTCTATTAGAAAGTAGAAACAAATGAACAGTTTTCTTCATCAAAATAGCCCAATTATTTATTATACCACAATAACTGGTGACTACCTGTACAGTTGCACTATGTTCTTCATACTTACACTATACAAAATTTACATTCAAGCTGGGTCTTTACTATACTGAAAATAAATACCAAAGGTAAATTGTCATTAGTGTTAGAAATATGCCAGGATTCTTTTGTTCAATTATTGCCTAAATGTTTTAGCTATTAAATGCAATCCTGTCTTTCAGTTTCTTTACCGATACTTATAATTATTCAAAAAATTAAAAAAGTTCTGTGACATTGTTCATGTACATTATGAAAATAGCAGCCCTGTAAATAAATAAAACACAAATAAATGAAAACTTATATAGGCAAATGTTACTGATATTGAAAGAAAGTGGCTCTTTAGATGAACTGTTATTAATGTGAAAGGAAGGTTCAGGGGAAATCCACGGGCAATAGGAAACACGGGAGAGCCACCAAGCTCTTAAAAGACCCCACTCATGCGCACCAGGTGGAATGCAGGTGTTGCTTGCTTTGATAACCACCACCTATTACTCTCCTTGTGTACGGATGACATAGAACTGGACATCAACAGTGCTGCATGACATCTCAAAGAGAGGAAAAGCTCTTGAGGAATGATTGTCTAATACTGAAAAGGCCAAACACACAACCGAAGCATGGCTACTTGCTTTCGTATAAAGTGGAAAGAACACCAGTGGCACACAAGGATAGATTGCTTTCAGTTTTTTCTTAACGAGGCAAGAAAGCTTTATGCTGAGGAGACATTCGGCTGCTGTGGAGGTTGCGTTGGCTGCGGAGGCTGTGCTATCACTGCTTGCTGTTGAGAAGTGCTACCAGGATTGGCCTGTTGGGCTGGGAGTTGGGATAATTGATCATTGTTTGAAAGAGATTTTAACAGTGCATTTTCTCGTTCAAGTAAAGAGTTTCTTTCAACTAATTCTTTTATTTGTTCCTTTAGAACTTCCACTTCTTCTCTTACTGCATACATCAAATGGCTTTTCACCAGATCCTGTGAAAAACAAAATTAGGAATGTCAAAATGAGTGAAAGAGAAAGTTATTGCTCTTTGGTTGTAGTCTACCTAAATAAACATGGAGGCGATCATGTGTTAGCTTTCCTGCTTTTGTTTTTGTTCAATGTTTTTACTGCAGCTTGTCTCTAAAGAAGATGGAATGGAAAAAAATTCAGTTTCTAACTAGAGCAACAAGCCTAGGATTTTCCTTTTGAAGTTTTGAGCAATTCCCAACAATCACTAAAATTTAAGTAGCTCCTAAATTATCACAAGTTTAGAATTTAAAAAAGTTTAAATTCACATGCTATGATAGAAAAAGAAAACAAAGGATGTTAAATTATCTGATATTACCCAAGTCATACAGTATTGCTTTAAAAGATAAAAGCTGCCATAAAATTTTTTAAAAAATAGTTTAAGACTAGCAGCTCTCATTACAGCCTATCTTGTTTTAAAAAACTCAAAATGAATAGTTTTAAAGTATAAACAATATTTTTAAGGGAACAAAAAATTGGTATCAGAAATCAGAGCTAGAATCACCAGAAATAAGTGCATTTAATTGAATCCAAGTAAAATAGTGTCTATAAATGACCAAAAAAGGGACAAAGATTTCCAATGAAAGTTCTTGTTTTAAAACTCTTGTCTCTATTTCTGATGCTAAAATATTTTGGGAGACAAAACACACCTTAATTATATGTTCCCCACCATTCCACCCTTATCCTCTGGGCCCTAACAATAGTATTATATGAAATGTGAGATGCACAAATAGGAAAATATTTATTCCATTGGTATTTCTAGACTGAAAATTCTTAATATCCTCGCATCTTCAACTAAATACCATTATTAAAAAACACACTTTGGTCACCTAAGTTAATATTAGGCATTTCTTAATGATAAACTACGTGCTTTATAGAACCAACAAAATTTGGGAACTATGGTCTTTTACTTACCATTGCTTGTTCTATTTTGTTGTCAATGGCTACACCACCTCCCCCAGATGCACTGGAAAAAATTAGAGTATTTCATTAAATTATTCTAAAAAAATGTAACTTCCCTTCCAGCTCAAAGTAATTAAAAACATTTGTTTTACTTAAAACCAGAAAGTAACTTGAAATAACTTAGTAAAAATAAAAGTCTATTCTCATAATTTCAGTACCCAAAGTTTTCATTTTGAAAACAAAGTTCATCAGTAAATAGAATACTTTAAAAAATTCTTTGTAGTTTCAACATTTGTAATTGGCCTACGACCCACATATGGCAATTCTCAATTTAGTGAACTTTCTTTAAAAAGATAAGTTTTGAATGAGCATACTCTTAAAATTCTTCACTTACCAATTATATGTACTAATTGATTTTAATGTGGAAATCCTGGTGATCACTTATTGCATTAAAATTCAGATGATTTTTTTCCCTCTACAGATGACACAGGTTGAATAAATTTCTTCTCTAATATATTAAATATTAAAAATAATAAGGATCTATAGTCTTCCTTTGGTGTTTGGTAAACTTTGAAAATTGCTAGTTTTTTGTAAAGACAAATCTGGTACTTTATGTGTCAATAAAAAAGGAGATCTTTAAACCATTTTTATATAAAACTTTATTCTTCATAAAGAATATCCCACCTAAAATAATTTAGGTGTTAAAGTACCTGAAAAGCTCTTTTACTTTAGATGGTATTTACCCCTCAATGTTATGTCAGAGTGATGGTCAGAAATATCCTGTCTAATGTAGTGGTACATTCACAGAGATCTAGTTATAATCCTGCTTCTGTTACTTACTAACTGTATAGTCATTGGCAAAGCAACCATTTAATTTCTCTGGATCTTAGTTTCCTCATTTGTAAAATAAAGGAGTTGGTATTAATACAATGGACTTTCCATTCTAAGTCCTTGGCATCCTGATCAATGTGTGGAAAACATTGAACTTACTTATCTGAATATTAACCACATTAACTGCAAAAAAGCTATTTTCTAAGATGCTATTTCTAAATGGAAACAGACTTCTATATAGCTAATAACCAGAATGAGAAAGATATAGACCATTAAAATGCTTTGATATGTTTGACTTTAAATGTTTGTAGAGTTGTGCAAATTATGACTCTATGTAACTATTAAACTATAGAAATACTTTATAAACAATAAGGCTTCAGTGTAATAGTCCAGCATTAGACACCAAATACTGGCCATAATTTGGCAAAAAAGATGGTGATAGGCATTTAGAAAGTGTACCTGAGAATCTTAGATTATACTTACATTATTTCTGTGTCAAGGAAAAAATTTTTAGTCACTCATGACTTCAATATAATCAATTCTTTCAACAAATCTATATAAATTGAATAACTTATCTAACTTCAAGCAACCAATACAAAACAATTGTAAAAGCCCCAAAGCCTCACAAAAAAGGGCTTCTTGCTATTTTTTTGATAATTAAAAATAAAACCAGTCAGCAAGTTCTCAGAGCATTCCCTTAGCTAAGGAACAGTAACTATTACTATTCTTTGCATGCTGACCTAATAAATTCTAATCCTGACTAGGACCTCTTTTACAAGGAGAGAGTAACTGGTGCAAAGAATAAATGGATCATGTTGAAATTATGTGTCCCTTAAAAAGTATTACTATTTCAATTCTGTTAAGCATTGAGATTTAACAAAATGAAATCAGTTTCAGATATATTTATTACTACTATAGTGACCTTTGGCTATTTTTGAAGGCTTTTAAGAATTCTAGAACTTAGTGTAGTGGTTCGCTAACTGTAATATGCACCAAGTCTTCTGGAGGTCTTGTTGAAAACAGACTGCTGGACTCCACTTCAGTTTCTGATTTAGTAGGTGTAGCATGGGCCTACGCATTTGCATTTCTAACAAATTCCCAGGTGTTTTGATTCCACAGTCTGACCATTCTTTGAGACCCAGAAGACAAAGAATTTAAAAATCTGGTATACAAAACCTTTCATTCATGACCTTGACCCTTGCCTCCTATGGACTCCCTCTCACACTCCATCTTGTCTATTGTGTTATTGTCTTATATAGCTATGCAGTCTGCATAACACATGTTCTCTCAGTTTTCAATGGCTATGTAGAAACTGCTCCCTCAGCTGGAAATGTTCACAGTTACAATTCACCTGGCTATCTTCAACTTATTCTTTAAGATATTCCATGCTAACTCTTTCTGTGTTAGCATCTGATTTCCTATTGCAGAGCTAATTACTCCAACCTTCCAGTGGTCCACTACTCTACCAATTTTTTAAGTGCATATGACCAGGAAAGCAGAACAACAAATTATAGTTTGTCCACATACTTACTGTGTGAATTCTGGAAATCTATTTAACCATTCTAGACCTAAGTTTTTTAATCTAAAACAATGTTTATATACCCCAATTCATGAAACTCCTGTGAGGATTAAATAAGTTTAAATAATACTGCCATTATTTACTATACTAGACTAAGCTCCAAGTAAACATAGTTCTTGACAAACAGGAGCTCAAATGCATACTGAGAGTCAACATGATGAAACAATTACAAACGCATACTAGAAAGTTATCAGAAATTTCTGTGTTTGAATATATCAGTTATTCTCAAGGTGAGGTCCTAGCACAAGTATCACCTGGGAACTTCTTAGAAATGTAAATATTTGGTTCCACCCACACTTACTGAATTCGATACTATTGAGGTGTGGCCCAGGAAATCTAGTTTAATTACTCCCCCAAACTGATTCTGGTAGAAACTAACTTTGAGAACTACTGGCTTAAATAGTCTGATTTACAAGTAAGTTATCAATTTTGGTAGTCTTAAACAAACAAATAAGAGGGTATATTCTATTTCAAGACCCTGGAATATGGCTGAAGGTACCTTTCAAAGAGGGCAACACATTTCCTATTGTGTTCAAAGTCAACATAATGGTTTGCATCATACACACTTGCAAAGCAGGAAAGGTCAACTAACGCAGAATTGAGTGTTTCCTTCAGGTTTGCTCCTTTGATCATATGTTATAGTATTACATCTTGTGCTCATTTTTAATATGCATTCATCACACATTATCTTGAACATTTTAACCAGTTTTTAAAAAAATTCTTTAAGGGAAGGCTTCCCAAGACTTTGTAACTATTAAACTATCTGGTTATTATATACTAAAGGCAAGGGATAGTTTCTTAAAAAGAAGCTGTTTACAAATGGGCCATTCCTCATAGCATCATTAACATTTACTAGGTGAATAAAAACTGTGGGTATGGAAAGAATGGAGCAAAATACAGACTGTGGGAGGAAAAAGATAAGAATGGCTACATTATTTTTATGACAAATTTTTATTTACTGGAAGTGTGATGCTCAGAAGAGCTAAGTAAGCTTGAATTTAGTATTTAAATAAATTACAATCAATTCACAGAAAAAGTAAAACTTTAAGTATCAATGCTATATAGGGTTGTTAGAAAAATCATGGCATATCTTTTATGAGTCAGGATTTTTCCTGCAACCCAATACTAGTAAGACAGCTTGATGCTCCATACTGTTTCATCTTTCATTTCATCTAACTGGCTACCACCAGGCCTCCTTACTCTTAGCAAAATAGATGACTTGCATCCTCAATGAGAAGACAAGAGGCTAGATAAACCTCTGGCTTCACCTGTGTCCTACATTTTCATCTTTCTTAATAGGCTAATTGCTTCATCCGAGCTTTCAGCTCACTGACTCTGCAAATCATCCACTCATCACCCCATCTTTCCTCCCTAAAAATTCATATCAGTGAAGTTAGGCTAAGTTGGTTCACATTTATTAACATAAACTTTTTCTTTATCTGCATTAATAATGTGGACAGTGATATCATGGCTATTTGTTTATAATATAAATAATGCAAATTTCTTCTCTATTTTAAAATGGTAACATTTTGACTATCTTCTGTTCTTTCCATATGAATGCTAATTAACAGTGACAAAAGCAGATGAAAAGAACATTAATGACTGCCCAGTTTATGGCAGACACATCACTTTAGAGGCCTTACAACAAGCCCAAGCAACACTGTTTGCGCTGCTGAAACTAAGGCCAAGTAACTTGCTCTAAGGCACAATACAAGGAACAGGATTCAAACCTATCAAAACCTAATTAAATCAAAACACATGCTTTTTGTAAGATGATTATGAAAGGAAGAAAGGAAGAATCTATCATGGTCTAAAAGTATCCAGAGCTATTGTGCACATATTTATTTATTGTGCACATGCGCTTTAAGCGTGAAATATTAAGCCTGGATTAAAAGATTAAACTATGTTCATATTATGCCATTTATCTTATCTAGCACATTTATAGAAGAGGTACCACTCTGAGGACAAAGAAGGTAACTTCTGGAGAGACACTTAAACTCATTGATCTTTAGATAGGCCATATAGCTTACTACTCACTAAAATGTCCTATTGGTTTGTTAGAAAGCTGATGATGTCTTAAAATTATATGCACCTATATGCAAAATGTTGTAAAAATATCTGTTAAGACAAAACAAAACAAAAAAAAACCAAGGGACTTTCCTCAAAGACCCTTCTAGCTACCATCCTTCTTGGAAGCCAGTCTTAGAAATACCATACTGTTTCTAGTAAATCATCACAACCATCATCCCCCATAATATGCCTCAATACGTTCTACAATAACATCACCATTACTAACGTGCATTCCTTTTAATCTGTGTAACATTTTGCCTCTTCTCTAAGAAAAGCATATTTTCGTTTTAGAAAGAAACTGCTGTCACTGATTGCAAACAAACAAAAAACAAACAGCAACAACAAAACACCCAACTAATGAGAAAGTCTTAGGAAGATAAATAGAATAAAAATATCACTCTTCTGTAAGAGGAATTTAAAAAGCTTATAGTTTAATATAATTTAAGAGCAAATGATGATTCTCCTTCCAAAAAAGAGCTATACCGACATAAATAAAAATTCAAGTAGACCTAATTTCTGGTTACAGACAAAACTCTTAAGATTATGAATAAAATCACCATATAAAGTTAACAGTAAAGTGAGAA